GGTCTCGAACCCGCGGGCTCAGGCAATCCACTCACCTCAGCCTCCCAAGGCATGGGATTAATGATGTTTTCTTTTCTCTAGCCTACTTGATTGTAGAATACAGAGTATAATAGTATATGACATACCATATATGTGTTAATTGACTGGCTATATAATCGGTAAGGCTTCTGGTCAATAGTAGGCTATTAGTAATTAAGTGTTTGAGGAGTCAAAATTTATGTGAGAATTTTAACAGTGCAGGGTGTCGGTGCCCCTAACCTCCACATTGTCCAAGGCTTATCTGTAGTTTTTTTTTGAGTTGGATTTTCACTCTGTCATTCAGGCTGGAGCTCAGTGGCATACTCACGGCCATACTAGTGTTGACCTGCTGGGCTCTGGCGATCCTTCTGCCTCAGCCTTCCAAGTAACTGGAACTACAGGCATGCGCTACCACACCGGCTAATTTTTTATTTATTGTAGAGATGAGGTTTTGCCAAGTTGCCCGGGCTGGTCTCAAACCCATGGGCTCAGGCAATCCACTCGCCTCAGTCTCCCAAAGTGTTGGCATTACATAAGGCTGAGCCACCGAGCTCGGCCTTTAACTGTAGTTTTTAAGTGTCTTTTATTATTAGCTTGCAATCTAGTAAGTAAGCTCTCAACTATTTTCCTGGCCCTTAACTGTAGTTTTTAAGTATCTTTTATTATTAGCTTGCAATCTAGTAAGTAAACTCTTAACTGTTTTTTTCCCCTACCAGATTTGACTATGAATTTTTCATTCTTGACATATGTATATAACAGGAATAATAATTTAAAGTGTTTCTCAACATGTGTCCTGAAAGCCAAATCAGTTTCTCTTCCTGTATCTCCTCTACCACCTATGCTAGGCTCACCAACGTGAGGCTTAGTACCCATGGGAACAATGACACAGGGGAATTTCTATCCAAAAAACAAAACAAAGCAACATTTTAGTGAAAGAGTGAGGACTGAAGAGGAAAGGCATCCAGTGCCCGTATCCTCACATCCTCCTCCTGTTAGGATTATTCACGGCAAACCAGTGGCTACTACAGTGCTCAACAAAGCAAGCTCTCAGCTTAGTTACCTTCCAGCCCAAGAAATGCACAGCAGAGAACCACATTTTCTGAAGGGAAGTCAGGGGTTTATATGCACCAGAAAGGGAGGAGGTTCATGGTGTTTATGCTAATTCGCAATTGAAAGTTTGCAGTCTGGTCAAGTCAGAATGTGTTCATTGATCTGTGTCTGCTTGGTCCCGTTGTTCATTGGTCAGAAACCATAGGCCCCATAAAGGTCTGAGGAACTGGGGTCACTCAAAGTTCCTAGTTGTTTATCAGTGTTGTGCGGGTAGTGTTGGTGGCATTGCTAAAGGTCGTGGTTGTTTTATAGCTTCAGCTGGTTAAAATCAGTTGTGGTGAAACAAAGCATGTGCAGCTGTAAGAGGAAAATATTTCTTCCCTCCTTTTATAGGTGGAAACTTGGGGAATAGAATTGGCTGGGGTAGACACGCACTGTTAGGAAGGGGGTGCATTGGACTGGTGGCCCTTTTCTCTTCTATAGTCTGGGAGAGGCTGTGAGGCTTGAGGAGAAACCAGCTCTGGTTTGGCAATTTGTCCACTGTGTCTGGGGAGCCACAGCAGTTCAACCTTGGAGATGACGAGAGCTGCGATCTGAGGCAGACTCCCCAGCTCCCCGCAGCCTGGCAAGGGTGGCCTCCAGCAGGGAGTAATTGCACAGTGTTCCCAAGGGCTTGATGGTACCAATAGTGTCCCAGAAGACAACAGGTCAGGTCTGGGCTAGACCAGTCACCAGAAAGGAGCAGGGCACAACATATAGGTCATAGCCCTCTTTCCCATCACCATGAGCCATTTGGGGAGAGAGAATGAACAGCATTCTCTCTTTCTTAAAAAACAGGGAATGATCAAAAGACACTGCAAAACAGGGAAGAGCCTGAGATATTATTAATTGGCAGGTCTGGTTTTCCCTCTGCTCCTCAATAGAGTAGAAACTTGCAGGGAGAACAAGATCAGTTACAGGATATAGAGAAGTGACATTTTCCTTGAAAAATGGAGTAGTGGCATACACATTTGTAATCCTGCTATATACATATAACTTAATATTTATATGAAAACGTTTAAACTTAATGTTCAGTAATTTGAAAGTGAGCAAACCGTTTAATTCTGTGTCAGTGTCTCCGTCACATGTGACCATCCACTCAGCCCTCTAATTGCCTCACAGGGCTGGAGAACTGTGTGTGCCTGAGTCTATCACCACCTACACGTGCCCTTACTCAGGCTTCAGGCTACTCAGGATCAAAGCCCCTGCTAGCTTTTTTCCCCCCTTAGAAAGCTTCTTTCTTTGTGGTGGTCTCTTCCTCTGAGGGAATAAGAAGAGAAAGGAGACCACATCCACCTCTTCACTAAAATCAGAATATTTTCTACCTGAGAGGGAATATGCAAAATCCACTTCTGCTTGAAAAGAATCACAGGTGTGGAATTTGGTCCTCTCCATACACATGGGTTTCTCTGTCAATTTTTCCCCCCAGAGAGCGGAGTGGAAGTGAGTTTTTTCCTCTTCTACTTGCTGTTTTAAGCCGGAAATTGCAAACGGTATGATCTGGAAGCAACAGGATGTTAGGTACTTAGCCGAGGTTGTTCCTACTTGTGACCTCGACAACTGCTTGCTTTCATTGTATTAATTGGCGATGCTTATACCCGAGCATCATTCATTCAAGCCCTACAAAACTATAATAAAAATACTGATTATTAAAAAAAAAAAAAAAAAAAAAGAAATAGTTTCTTAAAGAGATTTAAAGTTATTTTGTATGAGGATTAACAACACATTAAAATGTTTTTATTACAATCGCATTAAGTAGAAGAATCTGCT